ATTCTATTCTATTCTATTCTATAAATAACAGCTGCCTTTATCATGTTTTTTGATCTCTAGATTTTCTTGAGACTTTTGAAGAGGTGAAGAATCAGGAATTGGAACGAAAGACCCAAATAGAAGCCAACATTGTTGCACTCCTGGAGCACTCAAGCAGGGTAAGTACATTTCCCTCATCCTGTGACAAGCTAGGAATTTAGAAGCACAGAACAGGAGAATGAATGGATAAAGAAGGATGGTGTTTTTTGTATATTATCTAGCCAGTATCTGCATAAGAATCTCTTAAGAAGATTAAACATTAAACGACGTGCAGCTATAGTTGAAAAAAAAAATTGTTTAATTTTTCTTTGTTTGTGGGGAAACAGTTTTGAATATTGGATAATACTTGTGACCAGAATAAAAGAAATGTTTGCATAATAGCTGTAACTCATCGTCACTGCTATAATAAACATTATTCCATTCATGATAAACGTTTCAGAATACTGCAAATAAAACTACTGCAATATTTTGTTTACGTAAAGTCTGCAAATCTCAGTTCATGGGTATTCTGTCACTACTATTAAGTAACTGACGATATTCCAATCGTCTGTCTGATCTACTAAAACTATGTCTGGAATACTCTGCTGTATAATATTTAATGTCAACACTTTAGAAATTGTTCCCATTTGCAGTCTGTCATTTTTTTGGTCTTTCAAAACATTTTTTGTTTTAGCATTTTTGGTTCCCATGGGGTTTTTTATCTTATAGAAATCTTTCAACTGAGTAATACTTTGATTATATCATCACTTTGTCTTCTAACTCTTTCAGTATGGTATACCATAAAGTATATTTTAGGTAATGGCACTTACTTTAGAAGAGATCAATATGGCAACACAGTTTATACTTGATGCATTTTTGTTTCATCTTCACTGGCCTGTCAGTACATCTTTCATCAAAAGTTGACAGAATGTAAATTATTCGTATTTAAATCACTTCAGACTATTACCAGTATTTTCAGTCTTTGTGGTAGAAAAGGCAAACAACAGACAATGCGCTATGACAGGTGCATTTTTCACTTGTCTAGTTACCATTTGTTGTTTCAAAGATACAGCATGTTCTTATTATTGTTATCGGTAACACACAGAATGTGAATCGTATGAAACAAATTTCATCTGTTACCAATCAAGAGCTGAAGATTATGCAGGAAGACCTCACTTTCAAATCAAATGAAATGCAGAAATCACAGAGCACTGCTAAGAATCTGATTACAGGTGAGATCAGCTATGAATTTTCAAACTCATTCCTTAAAAAATTAAAATTACCTGAGTTGTTACACTAATAACAAGTACAAGATCAGTGATCTGCAAATATTAAAATGCAGTGGCAAGCTGACAAGTTGAAACTCTTGTGGGTAGCAAGTTACTTACATTTCTCAGGAGTATTTCACTTACCATTATCTGTAAGTTATCAGCTTCCTTGCACGGATATACGTTAAACAGATGTGTTTTCATACAGATGTATAAAGTTCTTCAAGCTAGAAGTTTGACTTTACTAATATTCACCTCAAAATAAATGTTTTTCATGATCTTAATATGTTGTTTAATAAATTGAAGTAGAGACTTCCGCAGTTGTTTAACCATGTATTATTTCTAAATGCAGTTCTCAGGATCACTTACTTACGGTTTGTACTTTTCTAAAGGGGTATGTACAGTGGGAGAATAACTGGCAACAACAGGGAATAGCTCTCAAATTCTAAGGCTTTGATTCTGCAAAGTGAATATTCATTTTGACTTCATTTTGGAAATACTCCAATACTTAAAATTAAGTGTAAGAATCTGCAGGATCTTGCCTGTAATTTAAAAAAACAGACAGTTCTTTTCTTTCATTTCCGTAACAAGTATCTATTTAGCTCTTTATTTGCACTGTTTATAGTGGAATGGCCTTTGCCAATATCATTATTAGTTCAGCAAGCTTTTCCTTGTTTGTTTGGCTGAAAGGAAGGAGCAGGAATTAAGAACCATAAATCATTTTGTTAAAAGGCTGTTACATGCTGTACTTGGTAGTAATTTTCAAAATAGGAGACTGTGTTGTAACTTCAAAGTACTTATGTGCAAATAAGAAGTTGTTATGCATAAAATGTTACAGAAATTGATTGTTCTGTTATGTATTTGAACATTTAATGTTCGCTTCTCTGCAAATACTCATTTTGCAGTTTTAGTGTAACGGACCATACATTACAAGTTCAAATATGACTTTTTATTCTTTAGTATAAGCATCAGTTCTTACTACTTTACAATATAAGGATGTTCTGGAAGCAAATAGATGTATAGAGGCTTTATTGAAATATATATTTCTTTCTTCTCAAGGGGAGAGAAGGAAGTTACAGTACATAATTTTCAGCAGATCATTTAAATGATTCATAAGTAAACTTCTGAAAGCAAGGAGTCACAGACACTGCAATAAACAACTTAAGATTCTTTCAAAAATACAGTGAATATTCAGTTTGTACAGTTGAAGTTCTTCCTAACCCTTGAGTTTTAGCACACTCATCTTCATGATTATGTTGTTGTGATTAAAATCTGTATTTCCATATTTTCTTGCCGTAACAAAGATATAAAAAGTCCACAAGTAGAAACCTTAAAAAGAAAAAAAAGGAAAAAAAAAATACAGAAAAGGAAACCATGAAGAGTAAACAAACGTGCTGATGGCATAGTTTCCCCAAAACATTTCCCTGGGTCACTGTAGTTTGGTCTGAGAGTTTGCTACTGTGTACACACTGCCTTCTAGACACTGCAGCTTCATGGCATATCAGAAGGAACTGGCCTGCATCCTCTTCCTGTCTCTTCCCCTAGAGAAGTTTTGAGTTTTTTTAGTTTCGAGTTTTTGTCATTGAGGCTGTTGCTGGATAAGGATAAAATTCACCTCTTTCAATTTCTTCCCTTTTCTCCAGAAAGTATGAATGAATAGGAGTAACCCATTGCTGTCTCACTGTAGTTTTTATCAGTATATAGACAGAAGAGTCAAAGAATCCTTTCTGGCTTTTTGGCATTTATGTTGTTATTACTTTTTACATGTAAAGTAAATGCCAGTTAGTCAACTATGTATTATTTTAAAATAACAAAACATAAATATCAGAACAACTATATGAAAAGCAAAAATGCTGTGATTAGGCCTAAATAAATCCTTAAAGACAATCTGAAGTTGTTTTCTGCTATTTCTCTCCAATTTGAAGTACTTTTATAATTCTATTTTTTACTGTTTTTAATGTTAAAACCCTGGTTTATTGAGGTCCTTAAGCATTTGTTTGTCTTTAAACCACAGTGCCATAGGAACAAGAGAAGTAGAGCTGAGGTCCGTTCAGTTGTGGTTTTGTATCTGACGTTGACCAATACCAGGAACTTCAAAGTGAATCTGTAGGCAGTTATGAAATATTCTATACACAGGGGAACTATTTTCTTAAGCCCTTTAGGGTGGAAGGCAGCATAAACATTGAATCACAGACATGCAATGCACTTCCAAACCTTCTATTTTTAAACCCTTCTTTTTACTGGTGTGGAAATTTTTAATATTTATATAAATGGTCTTTGCACGTGCAGGACCCTTTCAGTCTTACCTTATGCAAGTGTGTTCCTCAGGATGATTGCATATTGTAGACAAAAATCTTAGCTTGTCTTTTTTTTATTTTGAGATTCCTAAAGAACTCACCAAAGCGCTCTGTAATAAACCATAAATATTGATTAAAATCAATGTTTCACTCTAAAAAATGAGTATATGGCATAAATACAAAAGAGGAGAGATGAGTACCAAAATCTTACTATAACAGTTTTGATCAGGTGAGATTTTCCCAAATAATTCCACTAAGGAAACCATACTCCCCCAGTTTTTTAGAAAGATGAACTCTCCCTCTGTTAAGTATGCACATCCATTCCCTTCTGCTGTAAAGATGTATACTGCCTTGGTTAAGTTGAGGGGAAAATTTCCTACCCTGTTTTGAAGTGAATCAGCACATATCTGAGTGTGTGAGCGAAATACACAGTCTATGTCAAGAGAAGTTTCTATGCAGTGTCTCAGCCTCCCAACAGCCCGCTTTGCCTGATATTCTGGACTGCAGAAAAAAAACTGTGTTGCTTGTATCATTCTTCTGAGTCAGACACAGATCTGAAACATAAGATTATGTAGCCATGTGTTTAAATGTTCAGGAACATGAATGAAATACAATGACAAAGCTGCAGGTCAGAAAACCATCCAAAATGCATCTAGCCACATGTAGTCCTTCCACGCTCAGGGTAGATAATTTATCCCCAAAACTGGATCAGAGTATATTTTGTATTTTGTGTATCTTTATTGTGTCCTCTTTTAAGCAACTCATGTCTGAACAGTTTCAGTCTTTGCATCTCTCTTCATATAAGAATACATCCATATTTCTGACTCTTTAATTACCTGTATCTCTATTGTTTCTTTTTAATGGATTGTCAGAAGTAAATGATGTATATTGTAACACATGCTTATTTTGTAAGCTATGTCAGTTCTTGTACTGTGGACATATGGAAGTGTTTTCCTGTACAGAGTGAATGTTTAAAGAAAATTTAGCTATTTAGTCTCATAAAACTAAGTCTTATCATATACTAGCAACATATATAAAAACAACATGATATCCAAAAACTAACAAAAGTATTTTTTATATTGTTTGCATTATTGCAGTCAACTTTTTATAAAGTATCATCGCTGCTTTAAGACTTGAAATTAACTACTGCTATAAAAAACTTTAACAATAGAAATACCACACTGTAATATAGAAAATCATCACATTTTCATTACTCTTCACTTATGGAGCATAATACAGTAATTGTAATATAGGAGTCTGACTTATGGGATGATTGTCAAGAACAATTTTTTTTTCTTTGATTCACATTAACATTCTCAATGGGATGATTGTCAAGAACAATTTTTTTATTCACATTAACATTCCCATGAATATCAAAATAAGAAAGATATGCAGGAGCTGTTTGTATTGCATAGGCATAGCATAAACTTTTATATACTGGGCAATGTACTATGAAATAAAAAGTACTGCTAATTAGAGATTGTGTATCTGATGATCTAGAGAGTCAAAAACTGCAGATGGATCTACAGAAGATGGAACTCTTGGAGGGCAAGATGGTTGATGAACTGACTTCTCTTAAAGACAAAATTGAGCAAACAAAAATGGAGTTAGAGGTCTACAATAATTTACCAGCTCTGAAAGCATCGGGAGAAGAGAAGAAAAAGGTAACAAAAGGAATGAAACCTTGGATTATACAGAATTTGTGTGGTTTGAGCACCTAGTGGAGGGGAATTGAGCTCTATGAATGGGAATCCTGACTGATAGCTGTAAACTGGGCTTACACACCAGAGCAAATGAATCCAAATGCTTCTCTGCTTATATATGTGGCTTATTAACTGGATACATGTAGCAGGCTATCAGCTGGATGCCTTTTGATAACTTCCTTCCACAAAACTTCCCATTTATTTTAGTGATTCATCTAAACTTTTCTGCTGTAACTTACCCTTACATTTGAATTTAGCAATCTAACACGGAATCCAATCGAAAAAGAAAAATCTATCCTGCATGTATTTACTCTAAGACAAACTCCATCTAAAGCATATTTCACAAGTGATAAATTTCCTACAATTTCTTAACATCAACATTCCCACTTGTGCTGATATAGTAGGGTCTCAGCCTATAACTTGGTCGTAACCGTTGAATATTGTCTTTAGGACAGAGCACGTATTGCTAGAGAAAAGTCTTACGAGTTCTTTACGCATATGATCTTGTTCTGAAAGGAACAAAAAGTAGCATCTTGAAAGCTGTATTATTAAAATAATTTGTCTGTAGCCCACAGCAAATGAACTCATCCATTAATAAGTTTGTGTTGGGTTTTTTCCAATTAGAGACTCCAGGATGACAAAGAAAAATTAACGAAACGTAATCATGCTTTCAAGAAAATAATGGAACACTTGAATACAGAGTATGAGACACTAAAGAGAGAGCTGCAAGAGAATGAGACACATTCTCAGGTATAGCTCAAGCTACATATTATCTTTTCAATTATTTCTGTCACAGTTTCAGTTTTCTCATACACATGAAGCATTGTATGAGCGGAATCAGTTTATTCTTCTCATGGAGTTTTCAAAGTTACGTGTTGTAAATGTGTAGCCATATTTTCTGTTTTCAAACAAAAGTTAATATTGTGCCAATAAATTGCTCGTAAGGTTTGGATTTCAAATTTACTAGGCAGAGATATTTCTGAGCTTAAAAACCGTGAATCCTTTGTTTAAGTGTCTGTATTAATCTTGCTCAGAACTCTTCCCCCTTTTGCCCTTCCTTTGCTTGAGAAGTTTTGAGGACCAATTTAGAAACTACAGGAAAAAAAAGTCACTACTAATTAGATAAGATCCCTTTTGCTTTTAAAGTTATGATGTTATGTTTTTTCTTGCAACCTGTACTATTAATTCCATTTCCCTTTTTCCAATCCTTCTGCTGCTTGCAGATCACTGAAATTTTAGGATTTGTTCAGACTTCTTTAAACCCAAGGAACTTTGGTATATGGGTATATTTACATTGACATTTTAAAAATTAATCAGGAAAGAAGATGTTTATAAACTCTTGACCAGCTTTGATTCATCCATTATAAACAGCCGTAAATTGCTGTCATTTTAGCTACAGTACTTTACTGGCATAAAGGTTTGAATGCACAGAATGAAAATGGATAACCTCAAAATAAGCTGAAAAATGGAAAATTATGATTTTCTCTGCATTTCACTGAGTTTTATTGTTTCAGGTTGTTGAGATGTTTGTCCTTTAGAATTGTTACTTTTTTCTAATTCAGTTAAAAGCCAAGGGTTTTATGTGTACTTGTTTAAGTTAACTTTCTTCTGAAGTGAACTTTTTGGAGCAGATGAGAGGGCATAGCTCTAAACGAGGAGGTATAGAATCATAGAATCATTATGGTTGGAAGAGACCTCAAAGATCATCAAGTCCAGCCGTATACCCAATGTCACCATGCCTGCTAAACCCACTAAATCATGTCATGAAGCACCACATCTAAACGTTTTTTGAACACCTCCAGGGATGACGACTCCACCACCTCCCTGGGGAGCCCGTTCCAATGCCTAACGACTCTTACAGTGAAGAAGTTCTTCCTAATAGACAACCTGAACTTCCCCTGGCACAACTTGAGACCGTTTCCTCTTCTGCTATTGCTAGTTATCGGGGAGAAGAGACTAACCCCCACCTTGCTACAACCTCCTTTCAGGTAGTTGTAGAGGGCAATAAGGTCTCCCCGCAGCCTCCTTTTCTCCAGACTAAACAACACCAGCTCCCTCAGCCGCTCCTCATAAGACTTTTTCTCCAGACCCTTCACCAGCTTTGTTGCTCTTCTCTGGACATGCTACAGCAGCTCAATGTCCTTCTTGTAGTGAGGGGCCCAAAACTGAACACAGTATTCAAGGTGCGGCCTCACCAGCGCCAAGTGCAAAGGGATGATCACTCCCCTAGTCCTGCTGGCCACACTATTTCTGATACAGGCCAGGATGCTGTTGGCCTTCTTGGTCACCTGGGCACACTGCTGGCTCATGTTCAGCCGGCTGTCAACCAACACCCCCAGGTCTTTTTCTGCCGGGCAGCTTTCCAG